AGTCAGATAACAGTAATGCCACAACCATGAAAACATCCTGCCACCCAGAAAATGATTTATATAAAAATGTAAAATAAGACCTGTTTCATGGTTACATTACAGCAAAGCCAGTTAAATGCATAATCTGTCTCTGTGGCTATCATATGATATCTTTTCCTGATTTCACTTGTAAAATCTATTTTGGTCATATACAGAAATACTGAAAACAGGATGGAGACAACGTAAAATACAGTTCTTCAAACATGAGACTGAAGAGAAAACAAATGTTTAAAAGCATGAAAACATATTTCATGAAATGTCTCACAGCCTGTATGAAACAAGTTGAATTCCCTTTACTTTTCGGTCCAGTCTTTCTTTCATAATTTTACTTAGACTAACTTGATGACTAAGATGGATAAATTATATGACCATATGTCAAGACTGTAGTGTAGTGTATAAAACGTCCTGTTATAACAATTATATTAAGACAAGGAAATGTTAGCTCTTCAACTGCTAAAAAACATAAACATACTTTCAAAGGTTTGAAACGGTAGAACCAAATAAAGAGGTGTGATAATTTCCTAAAATAACATGCCATTGCCAAATACCATAAACAGTTAATAAACTTAATAATTTCTTTCATGATTGATTTTGAAATGTTGCAAACATGGGGTGAAGATGATAATGTCCCATTTTAAAGTGTGGAACTGCTGCTATTTATCAAAAAAAATAAAAGCCAAAGGGATCCCTAGATATATTTTTACCAAGGAAAATCCTGGTTGTTGATAGGGTTTTATATTTCAAGTTAAAGATAAAAAAAATTAAAATTTTCTCTCAGATGAACGTCAAATAAACAACTTAGAAACACATCCACTGAAGACAGCATGTAAGACTTTGGATACAGAAATCAAGCAAGCTACATAACTGCTAAATACAGATTTTGCAACTATAAAAGTTGTCAACATTCATTCACACTTTAGTTAAAAAAAGTACACTTTGAGTTATAAACTGATAAAGAAAGATACAAAAAACAGAATTCCTTTTATAAGTTAAAATTTATAGGACAGAAATAAAATTAACAGCTGGATCTGAAAATAAATTATCATCTTTTTCTGTTACAGAATGAATTGAACACTTTTGTGCTTCTCCTGTCCACTCTGCTTGTTTTGTTACTACTGCAGGAAACCCACAAGATGGCACTGTTAATCTCCTGTTATGTCTCCACATCTCACAAACAGCAGCTTGAGTTAGCTGTCACATACAGATTCTCAGTGTAATAACGGACAGGAGTCAACATTAGAAACACATTTAAAATCATGCATTCGAGTAGAAAACAACGACATTGTGCGTCTGTTTTTGTGCACTTCTTGTTCACATTCTGTTTGGTCCACTGTGGTTTGTGTAGGAAAATACTACAGCACAGTTGTGTTGTCAGGAAGCCTTTGTGCAAGCCAGCCATGTATTTTATACAGTACATACATATTTTATTTTATTTTACTACTGCAGATATTAATCTAATGTCATAACCCTATTAGAGCCAAATATAGGTATAAACAAACTGGACTTGAATTTGGACAAAAAGTTGCAATGGGTGAAAGAAATGAGTTAATAAATAGGCCCTTAGATAAAAACCCAACAGCTTTGAGAATTACTTATAATTTACTAGGACAATTACATGAATCATAAGCATAGTGTAGTGTTTTGATTCTTGGTGTCAGTTATGTCAGGGCCCTTCATAGCAAATAAACTATTCTAAATGGCCTCAACTTTCCTTCCCCCATCGCTTTGTGGCAATTACTTAAAGCTGCAGGAGGTAACTTTTATAAAAGTAGCTTTTGGTCATATAACTTTCACTATATCCTGACGGGAGTACATGAGACAGATAATCTGTAAATGTTTTTTAAAAAAAATAGGTTCCTCTGCTCCTAAAGGTATTGTGAGAATCCACCACTTCTGACCAAAAACAACTAATTAGAGCCAAGAAACATAGTTGATTGAAATAGAGCTAGGATCCCAAAGCATCAGTATTTGACAACCTAAAAAAAGGTTATTTACTGGAGCTTTAAGGGAATGAACAGAGGGGGGACGTTTAGAGATTTCCCCTGGAATCTAAAAGCTAAATACAATTCTTCTTAAGGTTTTACTCTTTTGCGTCAATCATTTGTCATGAAGGGAATGACTTGCCATTCTGGGTTTACTGAGCTTTTTTATTTTGCTGTACCAGTTAGACGCAGTCAGTCACAACGGAAGAATTTAACTCCAACTATTTACGGATCATGGCAAATAAAAAGCACATTCATATGTAAACCTGTGTCAAAATAAAAACCTGTGAAGATTTCCACCTGAATTTGTTACAGTGTCATCTGAGTGAGCTGCATTTACTTTCACGTACCTGGACCTTCTGCAACATACTGTTATAGAATCTGTGACATAGTCCGCTCATTCTAATAAACATGATTTACATCGACTGTCATTATCAAAGCAGCTTCAGTTTGTCTTTGATAACTAACATAATCAGTGTTATATGTGAGGAAGAAATCAAATATTAACAAAATGTACAGTGTGTTATACAACTTCAGTCCAGAGCATAAAGGATAATTCAAGTAAACTCAGGAAACGTTGGCCCTGTGCAGTGGGCAGTGGCTGCAGTACAAAACCAAACAGAATGGCTCTCTAGTCCTTCCTCCCAGACACCTGAAGACTCTGCTGTTGTGATCCATCAAGAATCACAGAGTATTTTGTTTTAACTACAGCAAACCTTGTGATGGTGATCTAGGAAGCTTGTTTCATCAGCCTGTTTTCTAGTGAAACTGGATTTACATACAGTAAACAAGGTAGGAGTGCCATGCTTCACCAACAATACAAATAAAGTGCAGTGGAGCTTCTTCTGCATGTCATTGCTTGCATACTGTTTTTTTTGTTGTTGTTTTTTTACCAATCCAAAATGACCTTTCCAGAACAAAACCCAAACTTCTCTCAATTGGAGGTAATGCTTCTTCTATACTATAAGTGTTTTGGGAGCATGAGGGTCATGGATCCTGCTGCAGAGCTTTGAAGGAGTCAAACAGCTTGGGAGGAGCAACCTCCTCTGTGCCTTGTTGGTCACACCTGGCTTGAATCCACACCTAGATTGTGGCTGTGCTTGGTTAGACTTGGCTCGCATCCAGAGCCTCCAGCTTTCTAATTATTCAAGAGATTATGCTTGGCAATAAAAATCAAGTGCACCTCTAGGTACTTCACAGACTATGGTGCCAACATGTATCCCAGGGCAGCAGGGAGTCCTTCTTATTTGTCCAGTGACTTGGCAGGGTCACAGTGAGGTTTCATGGGAGAAGCTGATCGAGGATTCCAGCTTGACTCCGTTGGTTTTACTTTCTGAAGGGCAGTCCCCTGGACACTCAGTAGGAAGCTAGGGCAAAAAAAGAGATTGACATTTTGATTGCGGTCAACAAACTATTCCTGAAGCATTTGTTGCAGGGATAAATTAAACAGACATCATAATGGAGTAGCCACCACTGATGCAGCTAACAGTAACCAATGTTATTTCAACAAAGGATCACATGACTACTTGTATGCGAAAGGTGTTGCAGATAGTAACTAACTCACAGAGTATTATCACCAGACTACCCAGAAGTTATAGCAACTAGACGGGATAACCGGGATATAACGTAAATAACAGGCGACCAAATTAAACGCACCATTAACTGGATACATTTCTGAATTTCTCCGGATTTGAACATTGTTGGAAACATTTGGGATATTGTTGGCAGACAACTCAACTAAATATATAACATAGGTCTGGTCATTTGTAAATATTATGTGGAAATGTTACATATTATATCTTTAAATTTACTATGTAGATCATCTGATGATTATAGCATCTTTCAAATTAATTAAGACAAATTAATCAATTATCAAAAGTGTGGCAGTCTTGTGTTGCTTTGTCCTTTCATCTCAGTGTATTTCTTTATACCGCCACCAAATTGCCCCAAATTGAAACAAAATTGAAATCATGCACAGAGTCATTTAAGGTAGTGACCCTATTTAACCCTAAACTTATTTAATTTGATAATCACAGTTCACAAAGAAGAAAATATACTAACTAACTAAATAAATAAATAAATATACACATCATAGGAAAACATAAAAGTGAGAATAAAGAGTTCTGTAGGTAGCCTTTATATAAATGTTTCTATCTTATAACTCATCTCGCAAACCTCAGACTTGATTATGCAATCTCTTTGGGGAGCTTCAGTTGGAAACCTCTGAGCTAAGGATTCAAAGGAAGGATGGGGGGGGATGAACGGCCCTCTCTGAAGGGCACTTCAGCTGTGACACAGCAGGTTGGTGGGGACATGTAATGAAGGCTGATTGAAGAGTCCAGACACAGTAACAGATTTAATGGCCTGGCTTGTCTGACGGCTGATTTACAAGGCACCTTCAGAAATCATTAGAGGTAATCAGCTAGTGGCGAGGTTGGATTCAAGAAGAGAAACGATTTTATAGCTTTGTCTGTTTAGAGGACAATTTGTGTGCCCGAACAGAAACACAGAAGAGACTTAATGTCCAAACTGACAAGGGCCTCTGTTCAGGGAAAGTAGAGAAAGGTTCAAGAATCTGTCTCGTCATAAGGTCACTCCATGGGACGCCAGTAGGAGGAAAGACACTGAACAAAGAGACACTCAGACTGAATGCTGTCCTCTCTAAAGGGCACTCCACAGGGGTGGTGGAGGTATTTTTTTTATATATTTAAAATATATATATATGTCTATAATTTCCATGAAATTAACTATAACTTTTATTAAATACTATTGTTAAAATCATTGCATTTTATTTTTAAAATCTACCATATTTAATTTTTACTCCACTCTGTCTTATTATCATCTTGTCAATCATATGTGAATCACTTTGAACCACACTAAACTGTACCAAATGTGCTATACAAAGAAAGTTTGATTGATTGAGTAAGTAGGGTATGCAGTTAATTGGGCCATTCCTCACCCAGCTCCACCAGAATGTCAAATTTACAAAAAAATACTGTAAAAATACTGAATTATCACCTTTCTGAAACCTAAACTGAAATGGATGGATGGAAAACATTCTGCAGTTAAAGTCTACTTATGCAAAGTGGCCAAACAATGTTATCTACTATAAACCGTGTGTGTGTGTGTGTGTGTGTGTGTGTTGGACACAAAAAGGCAGATATCACCCAGAGTGTGTGTGTGTGACGTGTGTGTGTGTGTGTGTGTTTGTGCACTTACTGCTTGCAAGTGGTTGCTGTCTGCTCCCATGTTGACGTTGTGTCTTTTCAGTTCTGACTTAATTAAGGCTGAAACATAAAACAAGAAAACATTAAACATTCAATTTCTGACATTTGGTCAGACACACAAATGCACACACAGTCACACACACACACACACACACACACACACACATATCCATACACACAGCCTACCAGTGAGCAGTATTCCCAGGAAGATCCAGGCGCAGAGGAAGAGATTTCCAAATAGTGGATTGTAGTCTGTGGTCAGTTTGCCCTGAATCAGAGTGAAAATAATCCCAAATATCTGCGCACACACACACACACACAGGTCATTAAACAGTTGAAAATCAAATTTCTCTTTACAGATTTCTCTCAAAAATCTAAGATGATCTAATTTATTAATTAAAGTCATACTAATAATTAATAAAAAATGAATGTGACAATGAATCATTAATGTGAAAGTACTACATGAAGCACCTTTAGGACACTGTTGTAAAACTCTGTGATACCTGTGCAAAAGCATTGAGGAGTCCTGATGATGTTCCCTCAGACTCTGGGTAGGTGATCTCCACTCCAAACTCAAAGCCCAGAGGCAGGTAACCCGTCATGAAGAACCTGAGACACAGACGTCAGACTGAGTTTAAATAAAGTCAAATGATCTGTTTATTCTGCTTAAATATGTGACTACAGCCTCTAAGAATGTAAACCTCAGAAATCTAAAATAGATCAAAATAAAAAAGGAAATATATGTTGATGACTTTTTATTTATATGTAAATATCTACACTGTGCCTGCTTCATGCCTACATCAAGTGTGTTTGAACCTACAACAATAAGAGAAAGAGACAGAGCTCACACCATGTGTCTTGATTATTTGTTTTGAAAGCAGTATTGAGCCGTTTGTCAAAGTAAGACTGATGCAGCCTAAAGGTCAGATGGTTTGATATATGCAGTCTGAATCCCAGCTTCCGTGTATTGAAAGCAACAACAGATGTTCAGCTTGTTTTAGCAGCTCTATGATCAATAAAAATAAAAAATCAGGCCAGTCGTACCCAAGGACTCCAGCTGTGAAGAAGACCAGGTAGATGTTTTTGAGGTCTAGAGTGAAGGTAAAGATCACCATGCCCAGAAACGACAGGCCGTACACGATCAGAGTGGTCATCCTGTAAAACAGCAGCACAAACACGTCAGAGGCAGAGACAATAGATGACTTTGATTGACAGTATGCATTTCTGTGATCATCCCTTTGCATTTCAAACTGATTCTCCCCATCCTGATTAGTTATTCTCCCAGTCGTGAAACTCCTGAGACACATTAAACTAAAGTTTTGCTTGCAGAGCTACAACCTGATCCCAGCCTGATAGATTTGGGCGGGGTCAGGATTACATTTCTCGTAACTCCCTCCAACCTGACTGTCTCATGTTTCATTTTACTGCATCTACCCACCCAGGTGGAGGATTTGTTTTGTTCTCACATGAGGCCCAGACATATGAAACAACTGATATTACAATAAAATATAATATACTCTGTACCAGAAGTATGTGGACATGCCTGGGTCTGTTTTTCAAAGGGAAATCCTAACCCTACAGCAGACAATGATAAATTAGACAATACCTTTGTTTAACTGTTTGGGGAAGACCCGATCCTGTTTCAACATGACAATGCCAGCGTGCACAAAATCCGATCCATAAGTTTGGTGTGTAAAAACTTGACTGGCCTGCAAAGAACCCCCTGACCTCAACCCCACCAACACCTTCAGGATGAACTGCAACACTGACTATGAGGCAGACCTTATTGTCCAACATCAGTGTCCGGTAGTGTCCACATACTTTTGGCCATATAATAGCTGAGCCTTAGTTTTCTATTTTATAAATCAGCATTAACTTGGTGGGAAATAGGTCTGAAAAGTGTGTGTGTGCATGCGTCGCCTACTTGTAAGTCTTTGTGAGGTCCAGCCACAAGCCGCAGAGGATGGAGCCGACCATTCCAGCAACAACCAGAGTCAAACCAATTCTCCCAGCATTCAACTCCTGGTTCTGAGGAGAGGAGAGGGGAGGGGAGGAGAGGAGAGGAGAGGAGAGGAGAAGAGAGGAGAAGAGAGGAGAGGAGAGGAGATGTGTTAATATAGCCTCTGTGGAAACAAACTGACTAAAAAGGCTTTTGTGATCCTTCAAACTCATCGAATCTGAGCAGAAACACAAAGGTTCTCCTTACAGGTGGACTGTGAGCCAGTCACATGTTCTGTCAGTGTGTATATGGGTGGGGGTTGTTAGTTGGGGGGAGTCAAGGATTTAAAGAGTTTCTGGTGGGAGAGAGTTGTTAAGTCATCTGACAGTTCTGTGAGAGTTTTATAAGTTCATGCAAGGGTGAACATCTCTCTGTGTGTGTGAGAGAGAGAGTTGAAGAGTGCTTTAGAATGAATGAATCAGTGTTTCTCTCCATCGTTGTGCTTTTCGTGTGTGTGTGTGTGTGTGTGTGTGTGTGTCCATTGACAGTGTTATGGTGGGCAGCAGGCATGCGTGAAGACAGCTAATGAACTCAGACAATAAGCTCATGTCTCATCAAAGCCATCAGAAGTTGCTTTGTTCTTTTCTCTCTCAATACATCTCCTCCTCTCTCTCTCTCTCTCTTTATCTCTCTTTCTCCGCCATGCAGTTTCCATCCACTAATTGTATGTATATTTTAATCATGAAAAGCTAAATGGTGCAAAAATCTTTTATCCATGGCTGAGGTGGAAAAGAAAAAACCTCCAGGAAGTGACGTAGATTGTTCTGATATTGTGTTGTTTGACCTGCTTTGTGTCTCTTTCTTTCAGCCACGACCTTTAAAACGTGACCACACATGTGGTTGAGGGTTAACACCCAGATCAACTGACAGCTTTGCTTTGTGACTTTTCTCTTCACTACAGAAGACAATACTGCAGCTGATGCACCTGAGCCCGAGGAAGAGACTCAAGATCCTTTCCTCACTTGCTGACAGACGGGACGACCCACTGAAGAACCAACGCACCATCAACTGTTAGTCTTGCAGTCAGAGAGAAACACATACATATACATACAACTGTGGGAAGACTGGAAACAACACAAATTCTCGCTTTTCTTATATATGTTGTATTTTCGTGGACAAGACAAAAAACTAAAGGAAAAAAAGCTAAATCAACGTGTACAGTTATTACATTGGTACATGATAACATTGAGCTTGTAATGTATTAATATATTAACATATTAACAGTAAGCAGGGGGACAATCAGTGTCCTATGGGGGCGTGGTTTAACGCTAGGTGTTTGTGCTGATGTGTGCTAGACGTTACATAAGAACTGGAGAGTATTTCTTAGTAAAAGAGCAAAGAGTGGCAGCAAAGATGTTTTCGCTCTTCTCCCGACTGGCTTCGGTAAGAGTTTGTAGAATTTGATCTGATTGGTTGAAGTTCGGCCATGATAGAGAATGATGGACGCGAGTTTCATCCAATCACCTGGACGTATTATTTTTGAACATGATTTCCCAGATGGTTCTGTGTAACAAACCACCTGGCACAGTCCGGTTAGGATTCACCCTCTGCAGACCATGAACATCTGGACCAAATTTCACTGTAATCCATCGAGTAGTTGCCAAGATATTTGCTCTGCATCGAAGTGTTGGACTGACAAACTAACCTGTAGATCATCCTTATTTGAGCCACTTAAATTGGAACAACTAACACAGAGAACTCCTTAGCTTTATCTCCGACTTGGTGTGATCAGTGGTTATGTCCCAGTCATAACGTGTGTCTTGTCAAGACTTAGGGCGAGAAAGATAATGAGATAAAACCATTTGTTTGCTCTCACTCATTAACTCCGAGCTGTTTGTGTGTTTTACCTCATAGCAGGCCATGATCATCTGGTTGAGAAGTGTTGAGACGGAGTAGAAGGAACCGGTCATTATTCCTGCAAACAGACAGAAACAAAGAGACGGGGGAGTGTGCGGTTAGTTAAACAGTTCTGTCTCATATACGAAGTGAATCCATTAAGCTTAGAATTGAATTTGTCCGTAACGAATATGTCTGGTTTTGGTTTTGATGTTTGCAAATCCAATTCTGAATGCAAGAACAGCCATGGGCAACACACACACACCCATAAGAACCCTGCAGTGGAAAGATAAGGTTCACTGTAGAAATTATGTTTCTAAACAACAGAAACACATAGATAATGTTATAGGAGAGTAACTTTGTTGTCAGACAGCCTGTCAAATGCAGAAGAAGACTAAACTGTCCGGTTGAACGAGAAAAAGAAACGTCAGCCCGACGGCGTGACAGATCGTTTATAGGCGAGTTGTGAAGCGTGTTGTGCCGTGCTCTCACACATGGAAGAGTCATGTGAAACAACATGTGCCACGAGACGATCACGTCAGAAACAGAGTGCAGGAGAACACTTTCAGCCTCATTCAGCTGCTGCGCTGTGAAAGTGGCTCTAATGATGTCTCTGCGTAGCTTTAATGGGCCTGCTGGTCATGAAGGTCACCACACAGAAACCTCTAGTTCTAAGTCCCAGTGTGTTTCTATATCATACAATACAAGTGTGTTTAATAAGCTTTAAGGGTCTGAGGGCTGAAGGATTAGGTTAAAACTCACAACGTGAATCTTGGGTGCTATTAGTATTGTAATATTATGGGCAATGATAGTAGTAGTAGTAGGTGGAGGTAGTAGGAGTAGTAAACAAGTAGGTAAGTAGTAGTAGGAGTAGGAGTAACTTTTCCAGGAGCTTTCAAACAGAAGAACTCTCCAGGCTCATGAACTGCTTTATCTTGACCTGCCGACTAACTGTTTGCTTCTGTTCTGATGATAGTTGAGGAGTTGAGACTTCTTACAGTCATTGAAAGTTATTCTCTGGATCTCAGAGTCCAAAAAATGCTTTTATAAATTAAGGAAAGGCATCAAAATGCTCTCACTGTTCTGGTCTCTTACCGTAGCTGATGAGCAGGAGGACAAATGCTTTATTCTTTATCAGGTTGAGGATGGACTGTTTGTAGGAGTAGTCTTCAGGAGGAGAGCCTGGTAAGACAGCCTGGGCGTGACTGGGAGGGAGGGAAGGGCGGTCCGTTATGACTGCGGAAGACACAGAAACAGTCAAGTTATCTAATGTAGTAAATAAAAAACAGAAACACCATATTAGAAAGAAACTGTGATCTAAAATGTGCAGTTAGTCTAAAATGAGAATGGGTGTTTCACCTTCTCCACGCACCACTAAAACCTCTCCAAAACACAGATATGTGCATAAAACCTTGGCCCCTAACCATAGCTTTTTCCTTAAACTAAACTTAATCCTACTCTAACCTTAATCCTAAACTCAAGTACTAATCCTGAGCTGGTCACTTAAAGATGTAAGGAGCAGCAAAATGTCCTCACTGTGGAACGTTTCTGGAATATTTCCACCCTCGTGAGGACATCTGGTCCATGTTCATCCCAAATTGTATCCGATGCGCACATTTTTAACCGGTGCAATCACATCTTGAACTTTGAATCTTACCATCCCCAGTGCAGAGGTGGGCCTGTGGTCACCTCACATAACTTTGAGGTAACTGAACCACAGATCTGAAAGGGGAACAGATGGCGGCACATATATGCTACTTCCCATGAGGCAAGGCAAGAGTGTGTGTGGGGTGTACCTATAACCGTGAGGATGAAGAGGCCCGTGGAGACGGCGGCGGTGCCATAGAACATGATGCTGATGTTGCGACCCATCAGGTCAATGTCGTCAGGCGTGTTGGGAACCAAAACTGGAGGCAACAGGAAGCCAATGGCTGTTCCCAACTAGGGAGAGAGACACAGAAAGGCACAGAGAGAAAGAAAGAGAGAGAGAGAAAGAGAGAGAGAGAGAGAAAATACTGTTTACTTACTCTGCTACACTGTGTTTTATTATATTGCACATTTAAGTTGAGTGTTTGGTGATAACATCGTTGTTTGTGTAGCATTTGTATTCTGTGATGTTCAGTTATATTAATATATAATAATATATATAATATATTAATAATTGTATTTAATTATATTCTGTTCTGTCAGTCTACTGTTGGTCTATTGTACTTCTTTGCAGTCAGTGTATTGCCTTATATTCTGTTCTGTTAGCCTTTTTCTCTCCATTTATCCTTAATTCCTTGAATAGATTATAATTGAATATTAATATATCCTAATATTTATATCATCGTATATTCTACTGGCTCCATCTCTCCTCTGTTCCCTCTTCCCCCAGCTCTCCCATGTGTCTCCTCTATTCTGTTATTATTGTTGTGTTATCTATTCAACACAAGGTCTAATCCAAAAACACACCATCAAATATCACTCAATAATCAATAATCAGCGGCACCGGCACACACTGACCTGGTTCCCGAGCACGGCCGTGGCGCACGCAGTAGAGACCTCCTGGGGTCCGAACCACACCGAGGCGATGCGCGACGGCAGGCCGAGGATGAACACCTGCGCCACGGAGCAGACGACCTGCGCGGTGACGGTGACTCCGAACAGCTCGGGGCTGACGCTGGCGCACTTGAGCCAGGCGCCGGCGCAGTTTAGGCCGGCGCCGAGGAGGGCCGTGACCCGCAGACCCCTCCGGTCCAGGAGCCAGGTGGCCGGGAAGATGAGCGGCACGTAGACCAGCATGTAGACGATGGAGAGCCAGTCCACCTTGTCGTTAGTCACCCCGTAGTACTGGGTGAACACGTTGGTGATGATGCTGTACTGGATCCACTGGAAGGCGTTCACCAGCGAGTACAGGCTGAACACGGCGAGCACGGCGAACCGGCGCCGGTACAGTCTCGTCTCTACACTATTCCCCTTCTTCTCCCCTCCTCCTCCTCCTCCGTTGGGCAGCATCGCCTCTCTTTCATCCGGCGGTACCTCTTTCTCCTGCTCCAGCGCCTGGTCCGTGTCCGCCTCCACAGCCCGGAGCGTCGCCGCCGCGGCAGCTGCGTACGTCGGATCCGCGCATCGCTCCGCCGCTGCGTCCAGCTCGGGACTCTTCCTGGCGACCGCGATAGCGTCAGGTGCGCCGGTATCCGCGCGCAGATGCTCCTGCACGAGCTCACCGGCAACCATAATGCTCGTTTGGCTCCTCTTTTTCTTTTCTTTTCCTCTCCTCTTCTTCTTCCCCCTCACGTTGTTAGAAACAGAGAGATGAAAGCGACTATGGGCGAGGCAGGAAGCGGTGAAACGCAAAACAAAGCGGTTTCCTCATTCGGTTACTCGTGGATACCGCTACGATGCTTTAGAGAACATGGCTGACTAGTGTAATATATTAGATACATAGATAAATATGATAATAATCGTCTTTAACGCGCACTAATCATGGTAAAACCCCCTCCGGTATCGGCTCTTCCTCCTCTCCGGCTCCTCTACAGCAGCGTGCTCTCCATCTGCCGGTCCGGTGCGTGTCTGCCTCCTCTCGCCTCTCCGGGTCTCACTGTCTTTTGTTCAGCCGAGCCGACGCTGACACACACGGCCTTCCGATGCCGAGGAGCCAATAGAAGAGCAGCTGTAGTATGTTGTACTACTTGAACGTAATCGGTGACCATGTGGAAGCTGGGATCCCATAATGCAACACTTTAGAGTGAAATATAAAGTGTGTACTCTCAGGATGATTCCTCCACATGTTATTAAAGGTAGAAATCAATAATAATTCGGTTGAATTCATGAGTTGAGGCTGTTATATCACTTGCTGGTGCTAATAGAAATGAGGAACAACAAATGTATCATTGTTATCAAATAAATGCATTTAATAACACATTTAATTACATCATTATATATGAAATATTACATTAAAATTAAAATCTTCCTGGATATTTTAATACAAATGTCACACTTTTTCATTGTAGGCCTGTTTAAATGTCAGAGTACACACTAAATTAAAGATAACATTCATCATTTTTTGGAAGACATCATCAGCTAAATCCTACAAACAATCAAATGAATAAAAGAATGAAACAAATCGATTAAAGTGACCAATATAAACCCTGTGCTTCCCCTCAGGTCCCTCTCAGGCCTGTAGTTGCTGCTTGGTCCATATACAGTAATTAGCCCGTCCATATGTTCAGGCAGTTATCTGTCCTAATCCTAATTATCGTTTGACCCAGTGGGACTCCATCCACTGCAGCAGGTACAAACTGCAGGTACAAGTCTGATCCCACATTCACATTTCATTGTTTCACTGACATGTGTGCAAAAAACTAAACACAATAAAATAGGTCTTTATATAGACTCTGTGGACTTTACTTAACCTGTTGGGGTTTTTTACATTAAAATGCTGGCAAACAAGAAACAAGAGTATAAGTAATAGTCCACAATTGTATGCACTTGCACTTAAAATCTTTTTGTTGTAAGTCTGTCAGATCAAACTCTGACCTCAGTGTTAGTTTGGTTTGAGAGGAGAGGAGTGAGCTCTCACTCTGTCCGTGTTTTCTGGTACCAAAAGTAAAGTGATTGGCCAGTAATTATTGTCACAATAACTTTTCAGCACGTTTCACCTAAAATAAAGAGTGTAAACAGATTTGACAATGTGTTAAGCAGGTTTTTATGGAGGATCGGGCTGTAAGGAGATATTTTGTATTAAAAATATCAGAGATTGGTCCCATACAATATCTCATCATGGCATATGTATATATATACAATAGGCTACATCCTATTTCTGGCTACATCTGGTCTAAAGTCTGTATATTAAAAAGTAATCATAATATTTGCGGGGTTATTTTTTACTGAAAAGCAAATGGGAACAATAAGCAGAACTGACATATCTAACAAAAAAAGGGGGGAAATGTCTATTTTATTTGAATAATTTAAGACTTTTGAAAAGAGAGACACAGACTCTGTTTTCAAACTCTGGATAGAGTAACTCACCCTTTCACAACATAAAACATCTTTGGTGCGCTTCAGGTTTCCCGTTGCCCTGGAAACGCCAGCATCACAAACAGGCCACACTTTGGATAATTTATAACAGGAAAAAATGACACATCAAAACATTCACAGCAAACACACAATGTCCGGGTGTGACGAGCGGGCTCTCCTGGAGCTCAACCTGCGGAGGGAGACGTGGTGTCAGGTGGAGACCAACCCCCGGCAGTCCTGGGAGAGGACCGAGAGGAGACATTACCGGAGTCACCTGCGGACCAGCCCGGTCCTCCTCACGGCTCTGACCGCCGGACCGCAGCGCAGGGCGGCGGCCTGCAGCGAGCGGCCGCCCCCCGCCAGGCTTCCGGAGAGAAGGCACTTCGAAGAGAACCGTAAGAGCTGTAGACCCAATGTTCACAGCATGTGTGTGCTTTATTGCAACGTGTATCAGTCTCTGCAGTAGCTTCCATAATTAACACCTGTAACAACTCCTGAGGGCCTTCCCTGTGAAACAATCCCCTAATTATGGGATGTTTCATCCCTGGGATAAGAGAGAAATGTTTGTGAAAGTGAGTTTTTACTGTATGTGTGATATATAAATGAGTAGGCCCCTCATTCTGGAGGCTAACTCAGTGGTTTTCAAACTGGGGTTTGGGGACCAATAGAGGCCCTTGAATGGGTTATGGGGGGAGGGGCAGAAAAAGGAGAGAAAAAAAAACATACCAATCACTGCAAATCAGTTCACTTTCCCTACAAATAACCAGCAAAACTGTACGATACTTAAAAATGTTCAACAACAAAACACCTTTTGTCTGTAATACGTCTTTTCTTCTCTTCCAGATAAATCACACCTGGTGTAGGCGGCTGCGGCCTGACGAGAGCCCACAAGATAATACGACAAATACACACGGGACCTGAACACACTTCAACTTTCAGGATTTTATTTCCATTAACAGAGAACAGAATACATCCTAATACGATATCCTACAGACATTATGTCATCTGTGAACATAAACTCATGAACTCAATCCAACACTGGTCATCAAACACGAGTTACATGAGTACTGCAAGAGTTGATGTTTGGCTTGAAGATTTGTTTGTGTTTGTTTCCACTTGTGTGTATTATTTAACGTTTGTCAGCCCTAGCTGTACATGGAGCTAACTGTTAACATAGACATACTACATGTAGTCTGTCATACTATCATTACCAACATTGTACATTATGTGCTAAAAAGGTTTATTTGCATGCAAAAGTTAGTATTAAGCTCAGAACACAGCTGAGCCTAACAAAGCACAGCCTACAGCGATGAAGTGTAGAGCTGAGCCTGACAGGCAGACTGTGACGTAAGTGTCATGTGGCGCCACCCTCAGGCCAAACCCTGCATTTCAGAAAGTTGTGCGCCGTATGTGAGCGTTAGCGTCTGTTAGCCTTGGGGAAAAGCCTGTAAGCATTTTGCACGGCGACGAGCTGAACCGTTTGTGGTGACAGACCTTTGAGGTTAGCGATGTACCGGCAGGACAGAGCGATGTTACTGGGCTCATTCCTCACCTGAGAGACAGGAAGAGACAGGAAGAGATTAAAAAAAACACATCTGCAGAGGAGAGCCAGCTGTGTTACAGTCTCTGAACATGATTCACTTCGATCATTTGAAACTTACCTGCTTGTCGAGCCCCAGTGCAGGAGAGTCAGTTTCAAGACAGATGTGTTCCAGTGGGATCTGCTGGATCAGCTTGTCTCTCTGTATGGCAGTATTAGAATTAACTTTGTCACTTTTATCCTCATTATATGGACTGACACAACGCAATCACTCTTCATCTTCCACTACAGGTTGACAGAGGAATACTGGTGTATTGTGTCCCAGTGTCTTTACACTCTTTACTCCGCAATAAAAACTTACGCTAACAAAAACATTAAATGTGAATTATTTCTAATAGCATGTAAAAGGCAATACTCATTACTCATAATCCAATAATAGCACTATAACTAAGACTATAACTTATGACGTTATATTTTCCTGCTACCATTCACACAATGCAATAATATGTTGTCGCCTACACAACTGTTACTAAATAGTGTGTATTCTATAGGTTTTTACCCATTGTGCATCACATGTCAGTGTGTGTTTTATGACTGCAGATGGGCCAAAGTTCAGTTAAGTTTTATGGATTTAGCAAAAATCCTCACGCAACAGGTGATTGTTCAGATGATGTATGCACTTGGGCACACACACACTTGGGGCTTATCCTAACTATATAATCATAAATGTTATAAGGTACACTTCAGCATAAAATGTATCGAAGTGCTGATGATGTACCTCGTGGACCATGAGGCTCAAAAATGCCTACTTTATGGCTTGTAAAATATATCATCTGTACATCTGTGTTTTTTCAAAAATGGCCATGAGGAGTGTCACTTTCACGCCTACCTGTTGGTTCCTGCAGACAGCAGGTGGAAATGAGAAGAAGTAACCAGCCTTCACACCTTCCAGAGCGACCGACGGCTTCCCCGCAAAGTTATGAAGCAGAGCTCGACTGATACCTGACCGAAAATCAGAAAGTTGTAACATCCAAAATGTTTTGCAGACATGTAAATGTACATGACAAAATGGGGTCAGACACGCACCTTGTTCTCTCATGGTTTCTATGGTAACCTTAGCAGCTGATCGTGAGTGTACGTTCCTGTGCAGAAAAACAGGAAGTAAAAAAAGGTCATCATCACCGCAGTCACTTATTTATTTCACATTCAGAGAGAATTAGTAAAAAACATGGGTACATTCTTGTGTATTTTTTACTTTATTGTACTTTATTTATTTGTTATTATTACAGTGATTTTCCTGCAGCCTGTCAGTCATGCATGCATCATGGACGATGAGCACTTGCATAATCACTTTACTGCCATGAAAAAAAAGTTTGCTGAGTAGTGGCAGCACATTTTCTATTGTGCTCACACAGGGAGGTCCAGCTCCTTGGCGACATTTAGCTGTTTAATGAAGACATTCATCTGGTCATCTCTGTCCTGGTGAGTGGGAGCACACCATGGTGTGAAGTCCAAACCAATCTGAGGACAAAAGTAGATAACAATATTACTCATTATATCCCAGGATCCATTAGCGTACTGTCAGAGGCTCATGGGAGCTGTAGCTGACCCTGTGATAACGGGTCAAGGCTAATGGCCACACCCTAGAGTCTAGGTTTCTGCCTCTTAAAAGTAAGTGTTATAAAGGTGTACATTCTAGACCTGCTCTACATGAAAAGTGTCCTGAGATAACTTGTGCTTTGGCACTATACAAATAAAATAGAATTGAATTGAAAATTGGCTATCAAAATTATTTACCTATAATAAAATGATGAGATGTTCAAATGTTCAGTCCAGCACAGCAAATGACGAAAAACACGTTTCGTCCATGTTTCATTAACTGTAAGAAAAGTCTTTTTGCGTGTTTTCACAAAGCTGTGCCCATGTACAATAAAATAATGTAAATCAGGTACCTTAATTACCTTAGTTAATTACTTAAGTGTCATTGCTCTCTCTTGCCTTCTCATTTCATGTGTCTTCCTGTTAATCACTTACCTTGAACTATTAATAAGAACAAAAAAGGACCAAAAAAATCATCAGTTTTGTTAATGTAGCCCATAATCTCAAATTTGACTGAAATCCAAGTCTCAAATCTACCGCTCAATTTCAGATTAAATAAACTTGCAGGAACGTTTGTGGGTGAAATGAATGTGAGGAAAGGGCTTATAGACTAAATAAACTACAATGTGTTCAGTGCAGCAGAGGGCGGACCCGACTGTGCTTCTAACCTGATCCATAAAAATAACACTCATGGAAACAGGAGTGTGGGATTGTTGACTTAGCCCTGTGATGCCTGAAATCTGCTCTGACAAACACACACACATTCCTCACCAGGCTCTGCAGCATTAGAGACAACAGAATGAACGGCATGTGTGTGTTTAAGTGCATGAGATGGAGTGTGACTGATGGAAAGAAGGAAGATTAGGAGGCCGGTTAGGAGTTTTAACTAGTTTAATCTGCTTTTCTTCAGCAGAAGTCACATTAAAGTTAGGATTTGTTAACTGGGGGGCAGCCACATGTGTGTACTCACGAGCATAGGTTTGTGGTTGTATGTAGCTTTCAGAAAACCATTGTTAATAGTGACACCAATGGCTATTAAGTGAACTGCAGTCAGCATCCTGTTCATCGGATAGTATTGTGCTAGCAATAAGGTTAGCAAGCAAACAAGCCAAGGTTAGCCCGTCAGCTGCAACCCAGCAACACTGACTTGTCAGCAGCTGTCAAAGTATCCTGCAAATGGCAAGTCAGTCACCTAATAGATAATGTGTGTAAAATGGCCTTATATCTAAATCTTTGTAAGTTTTTTTAGAAGCCTCTGAATGGCTGTTTGAGGGTTAACACTTAGTTTGAGGGCTAAGATGAGGAGAAGGTTTAAGTTTAAGTGACAGTGAGGGGGTAGGGGGTGTATTATGTCAGTATTGGTCCATCAAGTATAGAAGTACAAACTTGAGTGTGTGGTGTGTGTGTGTGTGCAAGCAGTGTACCTCTCCAATAGCGACGAGGCGTCCTCTGTGTTTGTAGAACTGTGGCAGGGCAGCATCCAGGTCCTGTGGAAAACACGTCTCCATTAACAGTTGCAAAATAGATTTAGTTTAATTTTAACACCAAGATATATTTAGACATTTTATCCTACAGCAGCTATTAAACCATTGACACATGACTGGCTGCCGTATGCTGAAAGTATGTGAATAATAAGCAGGTTGTTTGGATTTTCTTCATATTTTTCTCTTTCTCTCACAAGAGGACCTTCTTTGAAGAAAAATAGTGAGTAGCATAGTGAGTGTATAGGGCAGCACAATTAATTGAAACAAAATATCAAAATTACAACATGTCCAAATGACAGAAGCTGCAATTTTTTTTATGAAGGTAAAATAGGTGACAAAACCAGTATATTAAGTGAATAATACTGTAATATTTGGATATTTGCAGATTAACAATGGATCCATATCTTTCAGTGAAATGAAAATCTTTGAAAAAAAGATAAGTCCCACTAATAGTGACATCATCATAAATATCTGTCAAGATAATCGCAATATGATTTTTTTCCCCCATACTGTGCAGCCGTATATAACAGTATTATCACCAGAGTTAATCCCAGCTCAGCTGACCTGCTTCAACAAGGTATCAAACAATTGGAAATGATTCAATTTCTGCTGCCAAATGTTGTCCGAATGGTTTATTCAGCAGATAAGATAAAACCTGAAACTCTGAAGATTTACATGTTTCTTCACAACTTAACGTGAACCTCAGAGAAGCTGATCAACGTGGCATCAGATTTCCATCAGTGTCTTTAACGTGAGAGGTGTAATTAAAAAGAACAGACATGATTTCACTTATGATTTTTGCTTTGTCTTTATGGGGAACGTCTCCCTCTTTCTTCAACTTCAAACCACAATGAACCTGTTGCAATATTTACACTATTGTATAAGATACTGTTGTACTTTCAATAAGAGCTTAATAGAAAAAATAAATACACCTTCATCTCCCCCTAAGGCCTCAGAAACACACCCCCTCTCCCTCTGCCTTACACTCTGAAGCACTGGGACAGCTGGGACACCACTGAGCAGACAGGATACAGTTTCTCTCCTCATATTTTCACAATCAATAAAGAAAAATAATCAAAAGACGGAGGAGGCGGAGACTGTTTTGCTACCTGAGGCTTCACACTGCGCTGCCCGGGGCCCCCGCCGCCCTGCAGCGGATGTATGCCGAGGCATGGAGCCACCAGATGTGGATAACTGTGAGAAAAGAATTCAACAGTAACACCCTGAATAATAAACACAATGCTATCCAGCTGAGAGCAGACGTATGGATAATGTAAACATTCTTATTCTTTACATTGTGAAACTGCACGTACATTTACACAAGCTCTGCACTCACTGTCGGTGCAGTTTGGAGGTTCTGGCACTGTGTAGTTTTGACTACGTAGATCTGACAGGTGCAGAACATATGGTTAGCTTTCCAGAATTAAGAAGAATATCTGTAGCTTAAATTACCAAGATGTAATAATTCATTAATTCATTAATTTGCATCACTTCCCCCTGGTTTTATTTCATTGTAGTTTTATAACTTCCCCTTCACTATTATCAAAACAAAATAAGTCTTTTTTCATGCATTTAATGAACCAGTCCTTTTATAGGAAACTACTACAAAATATAAGTTTATGATACAGACGTCTATGTATAGAAGAGGTCGGCCAATAAACTGGTTTCGGCTGATATTAGCAGACCGATTAATCAACTATGGGCTTTTTTCTGCACCAAACTATTGTTATTCTATCAGCCTTTAAATAAAATCCCCTATTATTCAACCTCTAATGTACAGTACAGTATGGCCTACGACTGATTACATAACACTGAAGACACACAGACCGTTCCTGCAGCTGGAGAACTCTGGCAAACTCTCCGACTTCCTCTGTAACAGCAACCAGAGTCTCTACCCCGGCCTACACACACACACACACAGTGACACACATGAATGAATGGCTCTTCTCCCCTTCTCCTTCAGAGATCAATAAGGTCAGCCTGGCTTCATATTCATCACGACACCATCATGATATTAATATCTTGTTACAGAACACCATATTGCCGAGTCCTACAATAAAGTTTACAGTCTGTAAAGTATAAGATATCGAAAGGCATCAGCAGCTCCCAATTCCCTGTAACAGTGTCTGTCAAACGGCTCTGATGAAGTTACTGACCATTGTTTTCAACAGATATATATGTATATATATATATATCTATATATACTGATATACTATAACTGACCTCTGTGGTCCTCTGGATCACATCCTCCAGATCCTGCAAAGCAAAAAAAAGAAGTTTATTCATTTGTTTGCACAGTGATAAGACAGAGAATAGACATAAACAAGAACTAACAACTTAATAAAGCTGTGGTTAACTGTAAAAGATAACAGTGAGTGTATGTTTACATGTTGTGTTGTTGTGTTCAGTGCCTACCTCTTCAAACTCACGGGCTGACATATGACAGTGACAGTCAACAAAGCCATATTCCATTGAAAATCTAAATAATACGAGCTAAGAGCAAAAACAATCATAAAAAACTGCGATATTACATTTCAAGTGTGTCCTTTGAAACATACCTAACAGCCGGACGGAACACTTGTGCGACGCTAAAAGTATCGTTCCGGGGTGGGGTAGCTTTAGCAGACGGACGAGGAAGTTACAAATTAAATTCCGGTTCGCGTCAAAAACTTGTAAACAAAGTTGGCGGTAAAGATGGAGAGTGAACCTTCACCAAGTGATGCCTCAAACCAGGAGTACAGAGTGCAAATAGCGTCGAAGAAACAAGTAATGGAGCAGATAAATAAATACAAAGACGTTCTGAAGACGGCTCTCGACGGACAGCCGGAGGTGGCAGAAGAGACGAAGCGAGTTTTAGTGCAGGAGCTGCTGGCGGTGGGTCTGACTGTTTATTCACACCTTAATGTTCATAATGGACTTAATACTAATTCAATTAAGATAATTCAGGCGTCAGCAGACTGCTCCTGTCCGGTATGAACAGGCCGCTGAGCGTTGTTTTAAGTCTTCGTCTGTCTGTGGCTGTGAGGATCTTAAACCAAATCCCATTCATAAAAACTCGTGTTTAATGTTTGCGCTGCTGTCAGGGTTTTTACACAAAAGCAAAACACGATTCAGTGCCATTTTAACATATTTTTAGTTGGTTTGGTCATTTCGGCAGCACTTTCTTTAAAAAAAACCTTTATATAAACTTTATATAAACTTTTGAATGTTTTCTACTTCTATGTTTTCTAAGAGTTTTCTATTCTTGTTCGGTGGTGAACTCATTTTTTTTTTTTTAGAAAATAAAAACGAGAAATGATACTCCTACATATACTCCAGCATTAGGTTTTACAGATACAGATAATGGTCCATATAGAGTATCGATTAGATAAGAGATACCTGACAACAGTGATGTAACAATGTGAGTTAAACTCTGTTTCCACAGAGCTCTGACACTAATCACTGATTCGGTTCCCTCAGTTTTGGAAACCACAAGCTGGATTTCCTTGTTCACATCTAATGGAGGGAAGCTTGTGGCATCTGAGGACAAAATAAACAGAATAAGCTTCCTCTGCCACTGATAACTTTCTCTCAGTTGTGAGAATCTGCTGCTTTTGTCTTGATAGTAAACCGAACATCTTCTATCTGAGTTTTTTAAACTCTCGACCAAACAACACCCTGAATGACAGCTTAAGAAAGTACAGAGAATTGTTATTTTCTTTTACTATCTTCTGACATTTTATAGACCAAAAGATAAATCAGAATGAAGAATGAGATAAGTAATACAAAATTTAAAAATGTGATCTAAGATACAGTTTATAATGTGCAGCATGGACACTTTGACTGATGTGAACTGTTGATAGCTTGTGTGTATATATAGCTGTATTGTTCGCTGATGATTTGTGTCTGCACAGAACTTTGAGGCGGCTGTTCAGGACAACGTGTTGGTGAATGGACAGCCTTGGCAGGAGGCGCCTGATGTTGAAGGTGACGCTCTATAAAATACGGGTTACATTAAATTCTTAATCATTCAAAAAGCTGTCCATTCAGTAACCTACAGTTTGTGTTTCTGCTCTCCCTCCACCACTAACGCACTCAGCGGTGGATGAGGCTGTGGACCTGGAAAGCCTGCTGGATGACACCATTGTTGAGACCACCAGGAGGCGCCGTTCCTACCCGAGACAGATCCTGCCACATGTGGTCCACTCCCTCAAAGCTGAACGTAAACTCATGGTGGGTGTCACATATAAGTCGCTTTGTCTTCTTTCAGCTGAGATAAATGTGCAGTAGGGAGTGTGGACGGTGTTGAGACGCACTGACAGCTCAGTTTCAGGAAGAAACAGAAAATTAAAAAGAAAACAGAGATCCATAATTTCACAGATTGATTTTCATTCTGATAAATGACATTTACATATTTTGTGAGTTAATATTTAGATTAAATGTAAAATAAACTTGTGCATTTCTGAAAGAATCAACTTTTTGAAATTCTGATTTAGTATCAAGGTAGTTTTAGTCCCTTTAACTTACAAAACACAAGATATAAATGAAAGAATAAACGATAAATCATAAAATAAACACTTTGTTATGGTGGCGTGTGGGGAATGACATAATGTTTATTCACATTACCTATAAATATATTTGATTAAAACAGGTTTAAATTAAAACAACATCAACAATTAAAGCAGACACACATCCAGCACATGCAGCTACAGAGCTGATGTGTCTGGTGTCCACTTTTCTGACACCTGCTGTGTTTGTTTTTCAGGGGCTGTATGAGCACGCAGTCAAACCTCAAGAGGTGGCCAAAGATCCTGATCAAGGTTGTTGCCTCTAATCACTTATATACACACACACAGTTTTCATTTGAGTGAACTATGGTGTTCTGTCCAGATGCTTGAGGATGAAAACATTTATAAAACACCTTTATACTTCTTCAGCACCAATTACAAATCTTGTCATATTTGTGTTAGTAATACATCTCTCTGGTTTAAAGCAATATTTATTTTACTCCTGTGGGTACATATATATATTTGGACAGTACATAGTGGACTTTTTTTCCTCTATCATACACAGGAAGAACTACTTCTCTTTAAGATGGACATTTGAAAGTTTCACCCCCTCTAAACTGAAACACCGACATGCAACAGTGCTTTTTGTTCACCTTCTGAGTTTCAGTACATTATGGAGCTGAGAATGTGAATAGAAATGTAGAAACTGGTTATTGATACAACATGAAGTGATACAACTGTGTCTGTGTTTCATCAGAGAGCATCATGAACGATTTGTCAGCAGCAGCTCCTGGGATGGTGAAACAGGCCATCCAGGTCATAAAGGTAACAAACACACTCGAACACACCAACAGGTTTTTTATTTTATAGATAAATCTATACAGTAGAAGCTTTATTGACACTTTTTTCCTTCTGTAGTCAATCAACAGTTTGCAGAAACAAGCTGAAGGCCTCTGCGAGATCCTCAACATGAAACCAAGCCACGCCACTCTGGAGATCCACAGAGAAGTGTTTGGTTTTAACGGCCAATCAGACGTTCCCCTGCCTCCTGTGAGCGGAGCTTCGAGGAACAGGCAGCCAATAAAGAGAACCGTAGAGGAAGCAGCAGCCGCAGACTGCTATGTGCCTCTCAGTAAGAAACCTGTGGCGGAGGTCAAGCCACAGTGACACTTCTGCTGCCGTTCAGAACAACGAAGATGGTGTGATGTCAGGAACTAATATGTGTTTTTCTGCGCAGTTTTGTTTTTGAACTCTTTTTAAGAATAGAAAGCAGTGGTTAAAATGATATGACTCAGGATGTTTATTCATTTTAAACATACTGAATAAATAATATTAATGGTGAGACATCCCATACACCCAGAGAACTGTTGTTCCCCCTGCATTCCTACGACTGGATCGCTTTATGGCACAAAACCACAAGGTGGCGCTGGCAAATGCTGCAAGAGCGTTCTAGTTTCTGCTAAAAAAAACAACCCCAAGTATGTTGATCGAACTTCAAAAAGATGTTTCAGGGACAGAAAGAAACTGGGTTATACCTGAGAGTGGTTCTCCTAACGTCTCAGTGTCTCTGCAGAGCATGGGAGATTGTCAGCGAGGGGAGATTGTAGTTAATCAATCACGGATAGCACCAGTCTGTCAGACGCATTTAAAAAAAAAAAAAGCCCAAAAAATGCTACAGCACACTTGGGACAGCCATGGTATTAACCATATTAACATTGACAAACCATATTAATCTTGTCTGGTCAAGAAGTCTTGAAACTATGACGTCATTTTAAAGGTGCTGTAAGTGAAAACTGCTATTGTCCAACTTCCTGTCTGTTCTTGCAGTTAGCAGTCCCCTCTCTGCCCCCTCCCTGGAGTTCTCTCTCCTGATTGGATAAAGGATCCAACGGGATAGCAGAAATGTTGTTCTCTGTTCACTGCAGGAGGAGGGGTGGGAGACTGGGAGTCACTGACTGAACACTGTATTTTGGTGATGGCTGTTGGAATGTGAAGAAGATTTGAAGATTTGAATGAAGCATTTTGAAACCATCCGCATTTGTGATTTAAATTAAGTAATTGTTTTTATGACTAAACTGAATCAGATGAAATCCTAAAACGGACCTTTAACTCCAGTTCTTGTTGTTCCTGTTTATTTTGTATAAGAATACATTTCTAGAGACTTTGTTCCCCCTGCCTGAAATGAACTGTCCTTCTTAAAAAGATCTAAATATATCTTGTTGCCGTATATTTGTCATTGTTGGTGTAAAGACACTTACTGGTATTATTTTTTATTTTATTTCATTTGTACACTCTTATCCATCCTGTACCTGTTTGAAAGGATAAGGCTGGCATTATTCTGTATTTTTCTTATTGTAAATTTCATAAAATAACCAAAACCAACAATGTCTTAGTCCATCTCTCAATTCTTTCCGACCTGTCTGCCCCTCTCAGCTCCAAGCCCATTGGTTCCTACTGAAGATGTTAGTCCAACAAAAGGACATAGTGCATTTGTTGGGGACTATTTTCAGCAGTGGATTAATACACGTTTGGTGCTCTAGTGAGTATTTACAGCAGCAGGATGTGGCATAAAGGAACATGTCACACATTGTGGGTCAATGTTTTGTCAAACCCTCTGTCAGTCCATAAATGCTCGTGGCCCCTGGGTCATATGACTTATGTGAACTGCCCTCGCTGCTTCTTCTAAAACAGCAGCGAAATTGAAAAGTGAAAAGAAAGCTGAAGTGAAACTGCAGTCGGTTTTCTGCCTGGTTTGTTTTAACTTCACAGAACTCGGTGCCCCGTCCACAAATAACACTTTTTGTTTACTGACGGAGCTGGTGTGCAGGATATTCTCCTGTTTCTCTCATTTTAATGCACCTCTTAAAAAATGTCAGACTGTGATTCTTCCTGCCAATCCTATGAGAAGAATAGCAAGAATAACCACCTCTGTGAAGGAAGTGAGGTAAGATCCCACTAACATGCTGTGTTATTGTCTTATCTTATCGTCACAGGGAAATTGTTTTTATTCTGGTGCAACCTTGCTCACTATCCCAACAGCAGGTCAAAGGTCAAGGTCATGCTAGTAAACGAGGGTTTGAACCAACATCTGGTTAAAGGATGATCCATTACATTAGTAAAAGTGCTATTGCTGGAAAATACAAGTACAAGGGTACAACTACAGTGGAGGAACTACAGTGGAGGTACAACAGTGGAAAATCCTAGAGGAAACAATGAAACCAGTTTAAAAGACCTTTTTAATTTTCTATATTGTAAGTTCACTATTGCTGATATTACTTTATTAAAGAAAAGGTATTGTCCAATTACTCAATCAATTGTTGGAATAATCTATAGAATACTCGATTACTAATTTAATTGACAGCATCAGTCCTAGTTGCAATGACGCATACAAAACTTATTCAAAAATATATTGTTGGAATAAAGTACAAAAGTAGGACTTGTCGATTGAATGAGTAGACGATTAAGAATTTAATTGTTTATCATATATAGTACGTGTATGGGTGGGTGTGTTTTTCAGTATTTGTGGGGTCACAAAGCTGGAGCCCACAAAGAGAGATTTGTTTTTGTGGATGTGTGTGTTTGTGTCTCAGGGTTCAGAGGATGGAGGCAGGAAGCTGAAGAGGAGAGAGAAGAACAGAGTTGCAGCCCAGAAGAGCCGGAAGAGACAAACACAGAGAGCTGACCTTCTGCATGAGGTGTGTGCGTGCATCGTCTTGTACTTCCACCTTTGGATGGACCATTGCAGCCCTTATCTTTTTTCTGTTCCTCAAATGGCTGTTTGAGGTCTAAAACTTGGTTTTTGGGTTAAAGTTAGAATTCCGTTTTGGTTAAAAGAGTCCCCCAGTTTACGGAAGCATATTGCATTCACTTGAGAAAACAATGTTTGCCCTGTCTTTCTGTTTCCAGCAGGATCTCAATGCACAGGGCTGGCTCCCAAATCCCATAACCAGTCCCTTGCACTGGCTCTCAAACCCTGAGACAGCCTCCAGCAAGCCTATGCATGTCTTTCTGCCTTCTAGCTGTATACAGTGAGAACAGGCACTGGACTGTGGGCACGGACCCCACCTCCTTCCCTCCCGGGGGGGGCTTAGAGGGCTGAGAGCTCTGCCTGGGCCCACTGGAACACGCTGGAGGCTGGTTAAGAGATTTGGGTTAGGGAGCTGAAAACCGGCCCTGGGCATGGAGAGCCTGCTGAAGGTTTCTCCTTAATTCAGAAAAATAATGCTCAAGTGAATGCAATATGCTTTTTAGTATTACACTTCAACACTATCAATACTAGAGGCAAAGGTATCTTGATATTAGGTTCTAATTGTTAGTCAAACTAAGACTCAACTGCAATAACAGATAACCCAGAGGATATTATTAAGGGTTTTCTCAAACTTTTGCAGAAGACATTATGCAACTGTTTTCACTGTTGCCATGACTAATAATCAAATTTTGTTGTGTTAAATTCAGGAATTCCCCATCAAACTTGACCCTCTAAAGCCTTCATTCATTCATAATTTCTGCCTCTTCCTGTTCTCCTCTTCCATCTCCTCTTCCCTCTTTCCTCTTTCCTCTCCCAGGCCTGTGAGCTGTTGGAGCAGAGGAACAGAAACCTGAAAAGAGAGGTACATACAACACGCACTATACAAAATGCATTAATCTTGGATATCATTCATCCCTGTTGGGATTAGATCATGTTCTTGCTCTCTGTGTTCTTCTGCCGTCACCACTGACCACTGCACTATTGTACACTTTATTAGCACAGTAAAGATACACCATACATTTTTATTAACAATTATGAACTCTTTAATTCAAAGCGTCATAGGAGTGCGTTAAATCAACATTTGATTGAGGATTGAGGATTTAAATGAGGAATCCGATGCACAGAATAATTACAGTAATTAAGTCAATCTCTGCTTTTTGATTCGTCTTTAGGTGGATTCTCTGTCCGAAGAGCAGCGCCTGCTGACCGACGCACTCAGGGCCCATGAGCCCTATTGTCCCATCATGCACTGCTCCTTTGCCTCCTCCTCATCCTCAGCCAGCATGCAGCCTGACACCATGGCAGCCCGCTCAGTCTGAAGCAAGTAATAATGTTTCTGAGCACAGTGACCAGAGTAACTTGTTATTTAAAGCTACTGCTATGTAATGCACCAGTAAAACCCCTGGAGGGCGCTGTTCACCATGATCAGAGATAAAGTGGTGATTAAACAGGCTGCGGTGCTGCTGAACACTTGTAATCACAGTGAACAGTGTCCTCTGGTGGTTAAACCTTTTACAGCCCAGCTCATGTCCATAATGTAAATACAGTCATAGATTTATATCACACTGTAGCCTACATTTCCTCCTCTACCTTCTGATACAAAAGGCTCGATTCCCCTTTCATTCTTTAATTCTTGATTTGCAGAATGAATTCTTCCATTAGCTCATTTGTTCTTTGCTATATGAGTGCATGGCGTTGACTGTAGTCACAACTGCGACAAAGCACCAAATACATATTTTCCAAAAAATAAAAATTTGTGTGATTCGTTAATGTGAGAGGGAAACTCCTGCACAATTTGTTCATTGAAACCTAATGAAAATAAGACATTAAATCACTTCATACTAATTTCCTAATAAAGTCCCTCTCCACTGAAATATGTTTTCCTTTGTGTTTGAGCTTCACTGTGCAGAATGATGTATGTGCAGAGTTACTAGAAGGATGTGTTCACATTCATCTGCTGAAAGTTTCTTTGTGTTCATTGAAAATCTGATTTTAAAGGACCAGCGTGTAGGATTTAGTGGCATCTAGTGGTAAAGTTGCAGACTGCAATTAACTAGAACATTTCTCAAGTCTGTATTTGATGACCTGGGGATGAGAACGGGATGTGAAGAGTGGCAGAGAAACTATGGTGGCGGAAAAAAGGCCCCATCTACAGCCAGTGTTTGGTCTGTTCTGGGCTACTGTAGAAACAGGGTGGTTCAGCATGGCGGGCTCTGATGGTGACCCGCAGCATGTGTGGATAAAAATGTCTCATCCTAATGTAACAAAAACACGATTCCTATATTCAGATGATTATACAATAATGAACATACCTATGAGTATTATATTCCATTTCTGCCAATAGATCTTCCTAAATGTTACACACTGGCCTTTTAAGGGGCACGGCCTATGAGCATGATTTGTGACATTGTAAATAGTTTGGAAGTTAATCCTGGTCCAGTATGCAACTTAACTTAACTTACTTAAGTGTGATGTAGAAATCTGAAGCAACTATTGCACACACATTGAGAATGGACTTTACAGTGAAGTATGAGACATCTTGTGTCCGGCAGGAAAACTACATGAACAAAATTTGCATATTCATAAATTCTGGAATGTTTAATGAGGTAGAGAGGAGTAGATACCTTGGGGATTTTAATATGTAAATTTGTATAAACACTGATCAGCCATAACATTATGCTGATAGGTCCAGTGATGCAATATATTGGCACTGCTGAGGCTACCATACCTTCCATAGAAATTACACAGAATTTACTTCACAATTCAGCAGAAGTGTCTGTGTACGGATACACCGCTCAGCCATAACATTATGAGCAATAACTAGTGAAGTGAATAACACTGATTATCTAGTTACCCAGGGTGGGCCCCCAGGTCCGCTCTTTAGACGATAGATACGGATACGACACCGATAGATAGATAGATACGATAGATAAGATAGATAGGATACGATAGAGTCACAGAATAGATAGATCACCGATAGATGAACTTAGATAGAGTATATACCGATACGATTCCGATAGGTTTCTGCCGTTCGATAAAGAGAAATTAGCACTTAATTATACTTTTTTATGAACCACTCCTTAACTTCCACGCACGCGAAGATGAGTCAACGATAAAGAAAAAAGAAAAAAAAATTATGTTTCTGCAAAAAACGTCAGCGTTCCAGTCACTGATGTATAGAAACTGCAGAAACACTCAAGTGTGTCGTAAGTGTCCTGTGGTTTTGGACATATTTACCAGCATAACTGATTATGTAAAAACAAATATATTCTGGGGTATTACTTCATTTTACTGAAGCTTTTGAGGTCATCTGAAACCACAGACATGTCAGAGTGGAT